GTTGGATGGGGCTTAGATCAACCTGGGATAGTGGAAGGTGTGCCTGCCCATGGGGGTCTCTCTTATCCAAACCACTCTGTGATTCCATAAATACTTACTGGCAATGACCTGTACAACCCCCAGCTTTGGTGCCACCTTTACCTCTCTGAAGTGTCCCCTATCCCCGACAGCAGCTCCTTGATCCTCCGGCCGATCTCAGCAGGGGTCAGCTCCACGTCTGGCTCCTCGGGGCTGCACAGGCCACAGGACACGAGGCGGCCCTTGGCCGACAGGGCCAAGAGCTCCGACTCCCCTGCAGGCACAGACAGGGCGGGTCGGGGGCCAGGAAGGGAGCAGGGGCTTCCTGGATGGCTGAGGTGGTGGGGACACGGAGCAGGATGGCACTGCCTCCCCAGGGCAGTGGGATATGATGGAGACAGACGTGGATCACCACAGCACACCCCGCTCATGCACAGACCCCTGAGGGGGCACCACCCGGTGCTGCCACTCCCCAGCCAAGGCCAGCAGCGCCCAGCTGTCACACAGGGCACCTGCTGGTGGCACAGGCAGCTCTGTGGGCAGCCAGTCCAGAGGCGCATTGAACACCCCCTTTTTGGAGGGAGCCCACAGCTGGCCAGTTCCTGTTACGCCAAGCTGGGGGACTGGGAATGGGCAGGGAAGAACAGGAATCACAACGGACACACCCAACTGACAAAACCAAGAGGAGCCAACAAGGATGAAAGATGGAGCCCCACCCAACCCACACGGAGCTGCAGAGAGAGGAGAGGCAGGATCCCACCCTGCTGCCCCCAGTACCTTCCGAGGCCCGAGAGGACAAGGAAAGAGCCACGACGCTACAGATACTCAGGCTGGCCGGGGACAGCACGGGGGGCAGCACGCCGGCGCCACTCTCCGTGTCCTCGGGGTCCGAGGAGTCGCCCGCCCTGTCCAGGTCGACGGCGGAGATGTCCGAGTGGGTGCTGTAGTACATGCGGGAGCCGCTGCCGCAGGCCGCGCACAGGATGGGCCCCCGCAGGTAATATTCCCTGAGCTCCGGCACCGTGGCCTCCTCCCGCTGATCCGCCTTCACCGCCACCATCTTCCCGTAGTGGCCCACGGCCACCACGCAGTCACAGCCGGGCTCGCCCGCGGGCGGCTCACCCTCCTCGCCGTCCTCGCCGTCCTCGGCCGCGCGGCGGTCGGTGCGCAGCGCCCCGATGAACACGATGGGCTCCTCCAGGTGGTGCAGGATCTTCACGGGCGGCGCCGGCGCGGACACGTCGCGGCAGCCGTCGGCGGCGGGCGAGGAGCTGAGGGCTTTGAGGGGCACGGAGCAGAGCTGCCCGTCCGGGAAGCCGCACAGGATCATGGGCGACTCCAGCATGGCCACGTCGATGCCGAAGAGGAGGCTGAAGAGGGGCTCCTCCAGCACGAAGCCCCCCGAGCACCAGAGCCCCTGGGTGCCGGGCGCGGCCGCGCAGCACAGCACGGGCAGGAAGCAGGAGGGCGGCGCGTCCCCCGGCTCCCCGGGCGGGCTCCCGGGGCAGAACTCCACCTGGCTGACCTGCCGGTACGGGGGCCCGTCCTGCTCCGGGCGCGGCAGCTCGTGCAGCCGCATCCACCACTTGCCCTCGTCCTGGGCCAGCGTGATGACGAAGGTGCTGAGCAGGGTGAACATGCTCAGGCTGGCGTCGGGGAAGATGCAGGCGTCCGCTTCCACCGGGAAGACGCCGGAAGGGCCGTTGCTTTCTTGGCCGTCGCCGTCCGTCTGCTCCATTAACCTTTGGGAAAACAGGGAAGAGCTCTGAGCCAAGCCGTGGGGAGAAGCCAGCGTGTCCCTTGGCCGCCTCTCTGCCTGGCTCTGGGAAGTGAACTCCTGCAGGAGAGCTTTTAGCACGGCAGAGATGGATCCGGAGCCTCACGTTTCCCGTGGCAGGCAGGGCAGCCCCGGGAGCCCAGGGACGGGGGTCACCCCTGCTCACCTGCTCTGCTGCTCCAGGGACACGCAGTAGATCCCGCTGTGGGCACACAGGATGTAGAGCTGCCGGGGCTGGGGCAGCAGCTCCACGTGCCACACCTGGTCGGGGCAGCGGAACACGGCCTGGCAGGGGGGACACGAGCAAATGTCACCTCCCACGGCAGCCGCAGGGGTGGCAGGGACAGGGTGGCTCCCTGCAGAGGGGGATCCGAAGCGATTTCCAGGGACAAACGGATCCTGGGCAGCACCCCGCTGGGTGTTCCCGGGCGGGGGGTGGGACAGGGGCTGAGGCAGCCTGTCGTTCCCGCTCCCTGAGGGGAAGGAAAACAGGGAGCAGGGTACGTGCTCTACTTTGCCAAGCGGGAGCACAGTGTGGGAGGCAGATCCCGCTCTTACAGCGGTGGATTTCTTAGAAATGATAATCAGAACAAATTAACAAAGCAGCAGCATGTCAGTCAGGGCGCTGTGACAGCAGGGACAGCAGCCAGGCCTGGGGGGAGAGGGAAGAGAAGCCCCTGTGCTGAGGGGAACGAGCCTGTGGAGGCTGATCCAACGTGTCCCACAGCACCCCCAAACCCCAACAAAGCCCAAAGCAAAGGGTGCTGCTTGTAGGGTTTGTTGGATGCTGACGGAGGGAATCCAGGGATAGGCAGTGGGGACATGTCTAGGGGGTGTCCCATGGGAGGGGGACACAGTGAACCCCCACCCCGCCAAGCCCCTCACCTTGAGCACTTTGCCCTCCTGGTCATACACGTAGACGAACTCGGTGCCGTTGGAGAGGTAGATCTCGTTCTCGTGGCACAGCACCCGCGGCTTGCCCGCCACCAGCCCCCCCACCGGGCAGCAGAATCCGGCCAGGTAATCCACCCTGTGCCCCACCTGTGCCATGGTGCCGGCCTGGGCATGTGGGGAGGGGCACCGAGGTGTGAGGGGCTGAGCTGGGACCCCCGAGCGGTGGGCAGCGTGTGGTGACACAGCCCTGCGCCCCACAGCCCCTTCCCCCCCGAATGAGACCCCCAGGCCCAGCCCCACAAGCAGCCCCCTCCCAAGCATCAACCTCAGCCCCTCCATTCCCACCTCCACAGCTCCCAGACCCCCCCCACCACAGACCTTGTACCCCAGACCCTCCAGACCCACCCCCGACCCCCCACACCTCAGGCCTTGTACCCCAGACCCACCCCCGACCCCCCCCACACCGCAGACCTTGTACCCCAGACCCTCCAGACCCACCCCCGACCCCCCCACACCGCAGACCTTGTACCCCAGACCCTCCAGACCCACCCCCGACCCCCCCACACCTCGGACCTTGTACCCCAAACCCTCCAGACCCCCCCACACCTCGGACCTTGTACCCCAAACCCTCCAGACCCACCCCCGACCCCCCCACACCTCAGACCTTACACCCCAGACTCACCCCCGACCCCCCCACACCTCAGGCCTTGTACCCCAGACCCTGTCCCACAGCCCCCCCCCCACTGAGCCCCCCAGCCCCCCCCAGGCCCAGCTGCACCGGCAGCCCCTCCCCAGCCCCAGCCCCGCCCCACAGCCCCCCCAAGCCCCCGGTCTGTCCCCCCATCCCGCCCCCCCGTCCCTCCCGGAGGGGCCGCGGGTACCGGGCGGGGGGCGCGGGCGGCTCCGCTTTACGGCTGCGCGGCGGCCGCCGCAATGGGCGGGGGGGAGTTTACGACAGGCCGTAAAGCGGCGCGGGCGGGGGGCGGCTCCCGGGGTCGGTACCGGGACGGGCCCCGTGAGTGACCCCCCCCCCCCCAAATCCCGGCACGGGGAGAAAGGAGCGGAGCGTGCTGGCGGCAGCGGCTTTATTGATAGAAAGAGGGGCCGGGTGCGACCACCGAGGGGGCAGAGACCCCCCCGAGCTGACCCTGACCCACGAGGATGGACCCCCAGAAGTCTGGCTGAGACCCCCAAGTGATGACCCCGAGCCCCCGGCTTGAGACCCCCAAGTGATGACCCCGAGCCCCCCGGCTTGAGACCCCTGATAACCCTGAGCCCCCCGGCTTGAGACCCCTAAATGATAACCCTGAGCCCCCCGGCTTAGGACCCCTAAGTGATAACCCTGAGCCCCGGGTTTGAGACCCCCAAGTGATGACCCCGAGCCCCCGGCTTGAGACCCCTAAATGATAACCCTGAGCCCCCCGGCTTAGGACCCCTAAGTGATAACCCTGAGCCCCGGGTTTGAGACCCCCAAGTGATGACCCCGAGCCCCCGGCTTGAGACCCCTAAATGATAACCCTGAGCCCCCGGCTTAGGACCCCTAAGTGATAACCGTGAGGCCCCGGCTTGAGACCCCTAAGTGATAACCCTGAGCCCCCCGGTTTGAGACCCCTAAGTGATAACCCTGAGCCCCCCGGCTTGAGACCCCCAAGTGATGGCCCTGAGTCTCTCGACTTGAAACCCCCAAGTGATGACCCCGAGTCTCCCGCTTTGAGACCCCCAAGTGATAACCCTGAGCCCCCCAAGTAACGTCCCTACATCCCCCAGCCTGAGCCTCTTCAAGCCTTTCCGCAGCCCCGCAAAGCGATGCCTCTTTGGCCCCCAGCCTGAGCCCCCCAAGCCAAACCCCAGTGCCCCCAGCCCGGCTGAGCCCCCCAGGCCATGCCCGTGCCCCCAGGCTGAGCCCCCCAAGCCATGCCCGTATCTTCAGCCTGAGCCCCCCAAGCCATGCCCATGTCCCCAGGCAGAGCCCCCCAAGCCATGCCTGTGCCCCCAGGCTGAGCCCCCCAAGCCATGCCCGTGCCCCCAGCCCGGCTGAGCCCCCCAAGCCATGCCCGTGCCCCCAGCCCGGCTGAGCCCCCCAGCCCATGCCCGTGCCCCCAGCCCGGCTGAGCCCCCCAAGCCATGCCCGTGCCCCCAGGCTGAGCCCCCCAAGCCATGCCCGTGCCCCCAGGCTGAGCCCCCCAAGCCATGCCTGTGCCCCCAGGCTGAGCCCCCCAAGCCATGCCCGTGTCCCCAGGCTGAGCCCCCAAGCCATGCCCGTATCTCCAGGCTGAGCCCCCCAGGCCATGCCCGTGCCCCCAGCCTGAGCCCCCCAAGCCATGCCTGTGCCCCCAGGCTGAGCCCCCCAAGCCCGAGCCCCGGCCCGGGCGAGCCCCGCTCACTGCGGGGTCCCGGGGGCCCTGCGGGGGCTCGGGGCGATCCCTCCCCGGCGCGGGGCGGCTGCAGCGCCCCGGGCCCGGCTCAGCTGCTCCACGGAGGCTTCGATGTGGGCGAAGCGATCCGAGAGCCGGCCCAGCTGCTCCTTCAGGCCGCGGAAATCCCGGTACAGCTCGTCCAGGGCCCCCGAGAGCGCCGGGATCCTGCGGGCGCGGCGGGTGAGGACGGGGACCCCCAGATACCGCCGAGCGCCCCCAGAAATCCCCGCAGGGCCCCTCACCGGCCGTAGTCGGGCAGCACGCTCTGGTGGTCCGCCAGCAGCAGGTTCCGCAGCTGGGACGTGATGGCGAATTTCCAGTTGTCCAGGACCAGCGTCAGGTTGGCGCAGCCCCTCGCCGCGGGTCTCTGGGCTGGAGGGGCCGGGCTGGGACCGGGAGCAGCCGCCAGCAGCTCACCGAGCCCCTCAGCCGGACCGGCCCGCTCAGAGCCCGCCCCGAGGGAAGGGGGCCCGAGGGTGGCGATTACCGTCAGCTCCGTCGTGCCCCGCCGCAAGGCGCCGGCCCGGCCGGGCGGCGCAGCCCAGGACGGCGAGCAGCAGGAGCGGCAGCAGCCGGGCCATGGCGGGGCCGTGTCCCCGTGTCCCCGTGTCCCCGTGTCCCCGTGTCCCCGGGGCTGCTGTGCCCCGGGCAGGGCCGGGCAGCTGCCGCCTCCCCGCTCGCCGGGCTGCGCTCCCCGGCTCTGCCTCCCGCCGCTCCCGCTCTCCCTTTTCCAGGCTGGGGCTGGCACCGGGCCCGGCCTCACGCGGCTCCGGGGCTGATTGCAAACAGACCGCGGACACGAGCCCGACCACAGCCCCGGCGGGAACGCGGGGATGGAGTGCAGGTGGCACGGCCCCGGGCAGCAGCGTCCCGGCAGGTGACAAAGCACAGCAGGCACGGTGCTGTGTCCCCCTGCTCCAGTTGGGAACACGGAGCATCCTGGTCCCATCCTGGCACAGATGACAGAGCAGAGGTGGCACCGTGCTGAGGCACAGCGTCCCCCCAATTCCCATCGGGAACACAGAGCATCCCAGCCCCACCCGGGGTGACAGAATGCACAAGACAGCAGTGGGACACAGGGTCCCCCAGATTCCACTGGGAACACAGAGCATCCCAGCCCCATCCTGGCCCAGGGGAGGGAGGCAAACACCGGAGTGCAGCGTTCCCCCATTCCTGTTGGGATGTGGAGCACCCCGGGACAGGTAACAGAGTGCAGGAGGCTCTGGTTTGAGGTGCTTTTATTCCACGTTACTTGCAGCCCCCGTGCCTGGGTCAGCCCAGCCCAACCCGGGCACCCCCAGCGCTGCACCCCCAAACCCCAGCACACCCAGGGGAAAAGCAACCGCAGCCCGGAGCCGGGCCTTGGGATGAAGCCTTTGGAAAGCCCCGGCGAGGGGCAGGGGGTCCCTGCCCCACTAGGGTCTGGGCAGTTCTGTCCTGGAGCAGGACAGGCCCTCTGGATCCCTCCCATGAGGGGACTTGGGGCAGTGCTGGAACTGGTGTCCCCGAGATTGAACCAGAGCCGGTGGAGCCAGGGCTGGGGAGCTCCAGGGTGGGCCTGGGGGTCAGAAGCTCTCTGGGAGAGGAGGCCTGAGCCCCTCCAGCATCCACCTGCCCCTCTCCCCTGCCCAGCAGTGCCCAGGGCAGCCCCAGCTGGGGGCTGAAGGGAGGCTGAGGGGCAAGACCCCCGAGCCCCAGCTCCGGCCAGGACACGCTCCGGAGGGATGGGAAGGCACCAACTGAAGGACTGGCTCCCAGGGCACGATGGAGGCGAGGTGGCTGCCTGAGTTACGTGGCTGCCCCGCAACCCTCCCCTGGGAGCCCAACCATGCACACTGGGGGGGACACGGCACCCGGAGGGGACACCCCTCCCGCAGCGCCCACGGGGTGCCAAAGCTCACCAAGCAGTGCCAAGCCAGGAGCCGGCACCTGCCCACCCCGTGCTCGGTGTCCAGGGGTGCCTGTCCTGCTCTGGGAACGTGACAGCCACCTGCCCGTGCCACCGGGGCCGGTCAGCGCCGGAGCTGTCGGGATCCAGGCACTCAGGCGGGCAGGGAATGAGAGCAAAGCTGTGGGCAGGGAGATGCCAAAGCCTCCCTCTCCCCTTGGGTAGGAAGCGGGCACGGGCAGCTCCCTAAGCCTCCCAGCTCCCCCAGGGCAGGCTGGCAGCAGCTGAGGGTGGTGGGGGGCCAGCCCAGGCACGGGCTGAGGACAGCGTTGGTTCTCCGGGCTGGGAGCCCCCAAAAGGGAGCGAGGAGTAACCGGGGGGCTGGAGCCACCCGTGCCTGGCTCCGCAGCCCGGGCTGGAAGCTGAAGGGAGGAGCGGGAAGGGACGGGCGCCACGCCGGCCGCTGCGGGTGGCCCCCGACAGGAGCGGGGCTAGGAACGGGGCAGGCTGCACATCTCGCAGTGGTCCGTGCCCGGCTGGTTCATGAAGGTGCAGTGCTGGCAGGGCCACATGGCCGCAGCCACGGCGTGCGACGAGCCCCCCATGGCGCCGTATTCCTGCAGTCCCGGGAGCGGGACACCCACCGTGCCTGCGGGAGAGAGCCCGGGGCAGTGCTGGGATCCTGCTGCACATCCCACCCTGCAGCCCTGCCCCGGCCCTGGCAATGCTCCAGGCCAGCTTGGGTGGGGCTTGGAGCAACCTGGTCAGGTGGAAGATGACAGGGGGGTGGGATGAGCTTCAAGATCCCTTCCAACCCAAACAAATATTCCAGAATCCTCTGAACAAGGAACTGCCTCCTCCCCATGAGCCTGCAGTTGCCTCTTGTAGCAGCTTGGGAGCAGCCCCAAGCCAGCTCAGCCAAGGGACACCCCTCCCTGAGGGACACCCTGCCCCAGGGAACTCCCCCCTCTTACTGCAGAGCTGCTCGATGGTTGCCCACTGCTCCGATTTTTTCCAGGTCTGTGCAAGCTCCTCATTTTTAGTCCTCACGGCTTCCAGCAACAAGCTGATGCTGTCCTGGAAGTCACAGGTGGGAAATGAGCACTGGGAACCCCTCCAGAGAAAGGCAGGACTCTGAATCTGCGCTGTTCCCCCTTTCCCAACATCCTTGGTGTGCCCCAGTTTATCCCTCTGCTCCCCAGTATTCAGACAGATCCCAACACCCCAAAAGCTCCTTTCCTCTGCTTCCAGAACGTCCTCCCTACCCCTGTGGGCCAGTGTCCTGGCACTGTGGGCCAGTCCCAACTTCCAGAGGTGCAATCCCTGCGTGCTGGAGCACTCCAGCCCCCATCCCTGTTCCCATCCTGATCTCCAGCTGCCCACGGCCATCCCGGCTGCCTCGCACATGCGCAGCCTCTGGCAAGCACGGCCCAGCTGGATCTCAGCGGGAAACTCCGGCGGTGCCCGGCCAAGGGCAGCAGAGCTGCACAGCCAGGACCTCGCTGGCCTTGAGCTCTGGGGGCTCTGATCTCCTTATTGTTCCCACCGAATTCCTCATTCTGAGATAATTTTTAAAACATTTCCAGCTCTGGAAGCTGCAGCCAAGTTGGCTCTGGGATCATGTGGACAACCACCCCCCGCAGTGCTCCCAGCAGCTCAGGGGCTTTTGTGTTTAGAGTTCAAAAAAGCTTTTAAAACTCTTTAAACCTTCTCCTGACAGCTTGGTTGGGAAAAGCCAGCACGAGGGTCATGGGATGGCAGGAACAGTCACCTCCAGCCTCTTGAGGGACTCCTGGAGGGGCTGAGGGCCCTGGCATGGGGGGGATGGTGTGGGGACAGGACCCTCCCAGCCCCGTTACGTACCCGCAGAGGCATGACCTCGTTTGTGACCAGGAAGAGGAGCAGATGGAAATCGGAAATGATGTCTAGGAAAATGGAGGAAGTATTTTGGGACAGGTACGTGGCCAAACTGTGGAAGTCCTGGGGAGAGGGGAGAGTAATGAAGAGAAGTCAATTCCTGTTTGTATCCATTAACAGATATTCCTGTCCCTCTGGTTAGTGTCTGCAATTGTCTGCAGGGACATTCCCAAAATCAGGTCCCCGCCTGGCTGACTGAATCCCAGCTAACAACTTTCAGGGAAATCTCTGGGCCCACAGGAGCTCCTCTTGACCAACCCCAGCACCCACAGAGCTGATCTCAGATCCAAGAGGTGCTGAGGGGGAGCCAGGCAACTCCAGCCTTGTTCCTACAGAAAAGAGGGAGAAGAGGACATCCCATCCCATCCCCTGCCTTGGCCTCTTGCAGGAACTGCTTTCTGTGCTTAAAGATTCCATCCAGGAAGAGAAGACAGCACTCTGGAATAGGAACAGAGCCCAGTCTCTGCAGGTTTGTGCTGTCACCATGGGGCTGGAGCCCTGTGGTCCCTCTGGAGCTGCCTGGCAGGTGCAGGGAGCCCTGATCCCACTGTGGATGTGGCAGGAGCTCAGTCCGGCCGGCAGTCGGCATTGGCATGCAGACACTGCTCCGTGCAGGAAGGAACTTGGCAGGCTGAGCCGGGAAGGGGTGACTTGAGGGCACAGCTGTCCCTCTGCAGATGTCAGTGAGCACGAGGGAGGCAGAGCCCATCCCCAGGGAACCCAGCTCCGTCAGGAATCGCCCCTCACCTGAGTTTCACCCAGCACATCGCGGTTCTCGATGGGGAATGGGTTTTGAGAAATAGAAAAAGTGTAGACTGGATCCTTGGGGAAAGTTGTAGTAATCTTAAAAAAAAAAAAAAATCAAGGAAGGATGATCAGAAACCAGTGGGATAAGGGAAGCCAGTCCAGATAGCTGAGAACAGCCACAGCCATGATCCCAGCTCAGCCAAACAGTGAGGCATCCTGCAGGGATCTGATGGCTTTTAATTTAATTTGAAGTGATATTCCATCACCACACCTCTTGGCTCCCTTTCTAAGGAAGCTGGAGGGACATGATGGGTTTGGTCTTTACAGTTGCCATAGAGAGCATCCCTCTCTGCACAGGTCACAGCAATTCTGGCACAGCTGTGCCCTGTGCCAGGCAGCTGCTGCTTCAGGGGAGTCCTGGGGGGATCCTAATGCATGTTCCACCCCTCTGTTTTCATCCCAGTGACACCCCAGGTATCCCAGGAACAAGAGCACAGGAATTCCTGTGCTCTGGCACTGCCTATGCCAGGGGCAGCTGGACCTGAGAGGCTGCTCCAGGTGGATCTAATGGTTGTTGGCACAACCCCCAACTCCAGCAATATCATCTGGCATCCCAATTATTTGCTTTCCTGCCTTCCATGCTGTAACTTTGTTTCCCAGCCCCAGGGCTGAGCTGTGCCGTGCCTGGCAGCAGCTCTGCTCTGGCCAAGCTGTGCCAGAGAGCAAATTCCCTCCTCCAAGAAAAGGCATTTCTGGACAACCTGCTGAGTCACTCAAAGGAGATGGATCCCTAATTGCTGCTCTGGAGTTTCCTCATTAGGCAGTGCCTGGGACACGGGTCCGTGGGGCTGCTGCTTCCCGGCCACGTGGCTCTGGGCCAGCTCAGAGCCCTGATAAGGCACCAGGCAGTGCTTTCCTGGAAAACAAATGTGCTCCTGGCACCACACCGACCCCACAGAGCAGGGCAGCCACCTCCCTGCTAGGAATGCTTGGCAGCAGCAGGCAGAGGAGGATAATCTGTCTCAGGAATCCCTTCCACTGGGAGTTTCAGAGGTGGGTTAGCAGTTTTCTCCCCTGTGGCCATCTCCTGTGGGAAGCAAACGTGCAGGGAATACTCACGTCTATGATGAGGTACTCGACCGGCAGCGGGCGAGCCAGCTGGGTGATCTCGTTCCCAAACTTGTCTATGTCCTGAAAGAAAAAGAGTTGGATTATTCCTGAGCACGGAAGTGGTGTGAAACCCAAAGGATCCTGCCCTGGAGATGCTCATGCAGAATCCTGTGCTCTGGCACATCTCTGAGGGTGTGGAAAAGCACGTGGATGGGTGGTGCAGGGCTGCCAAATTCCCTGCTGCTCCCCGGGGCTGGAGATCTCGTCTCCTTGTGAGCCAAGAGAGTGAGGAGTCACAAACCACCTTGGCTTGTCTCCCACTAGAGAGAGGCTTGGAATTATCCACAGAGTGTAAAGATGGGATTCCTGGGGTTGTTGGACTCCGTGATCCTTGTGCATCCCTTCCAACTGCAGCTATCCTACGATTCCATGATTTTAAATGCCTTTTAGGCAGCAGCTCCATCTTCAAGAGAGGAACAGGTCACCTCTGCCTCCTCAGCCCAAGCAAACCTGCCTTTCTGCAAATCCAGGAGTGCCTCAA